CAAATTTTAGAAAGTAAAAAAATAAATAAAAATTAAAAAAAGTGATAAAAAAGGAAAAAAATAAAATTAGAGGTGCACTGAAATAAAACCAAAATTAAAAATAAAATGTCAGGCCAAAAACCGAAATTTTTTTTTCTAACCTTTTCCAATTTTTTTTATATAAACTTTGTTTTTTTATCTTTTTATTGAAATTTTTTTTTTTTACTTTACTGTTGGGAGCTTTGGGGAAATATTAGCGGTCTAAACAGACCCCTGATATTTCTCTTTTAAAATAGAAAAAGCAATTGAGCCCTGAATCTATTTTTCAGAGTATGTTTACTATGACCACAATCATGAATGAACAGGAGGTGATGTAGATGTGATGTAGATCACTTCCCATTCATTTATAATTGAGGATATAGTAACCATACTCTGTCCTCCATTATATGCAAACACTCAGCGATCACTGACTGCTTGTACCACTCTCCATCCTGACAGCTGCCACAGGAGGCTGAGCGGGCGATGCGGGAGGAGAGCTCAGCCTCCTTTGACAGCGCTGGCTGTCTCCGCCCACACATCGCTCTCCTAGAGGGGAGATGTGGGAACAGGGGGATGTGGGGAGAGTGGGAACTGTATTTGTAGTCCTCTATAGTTGATGTACTCGGTCTAGAAAAAAATGGTATTGGTGGATCTCTACTCCCATCCATGCTCTTTCGCCTGTGTAGGCAAAAATCCTTGCACCGGCCCTGGTCACACCAGGCTATATATGACAAAATCTTTAGTCATTTAAGATATTATAGTGTGGAAATAGAGACTTGGATTGCGTAGCTATTGCTCAATAACTGTAAATTCCATGGGAGTACAGTTACTCCTTGTCAGATTTCCTGTAATATATACCCTGATGGCATAGTTAGATTTTTTTTCTAGTGTTAACATGTTTCATTTATTTGTAAATGACACTTTATATTTTTATGATTCAAGTATTTTATTTTACATTTCAGTATATCCTGTCAGTTGATCGAGCGAATCTGAACAAAGAATTGCTTGATGGTGAGTAATACAAGTATGATGCAAATAATTAAATGAAAAATGTTGTATAGTAACATAGGCAGGTTGAAAAAAGTCCATTGAGTTTAACCTATAGAAACCTAAGAAAAAATACAAAAAAATTTCATGTCACAAGAACATGAAACTGCAAGCATGACATATGCACATGCTGAAATGAATGGCTGAGGGCTTGTTCACACCAAATGCAGACCAGATTGGCTTGAGTTTATGCACACGCAGTGCAGTGAGTTGTGCCGCATTTTTGATGCGCTCTGGGCTGGTTTTTAGTTTAGAATGGGCTTTTACTGCGTTCCAGGGCATTTGCATGTGTTTTTAATGCGTTTGCATGCATTCCAGAGCAGGTAAAATAGGGCTTGCTGCAGTTTTTTCACATGCTCGGGAACTGAACGCTGCGGTGTGAACTAGAGCCCAATATATAATTTGAATACATTGGACGCAGTTTTGATCTGGTCTGTAACTGCTCTGCACCTGGAACGCGCTTGGTGTGAACAAGGCCTAAAGTAACAATCTCAACAAAAATTAACTCTAAAGCTATAGGATAGAAATAAAATAAAGAAATAAAGCTAAAGCTCTCAACTTTGTACATGTTGGCCATGTTTGTGAGCTTCTTTTTTTGTAGTACCATACTGAATGGTCGTAAAAGTTTATCAAAATGTCAAAAAAGAGTGCACAGAGATACTTCAGAATCACAATCCTACAATCCCCAAACCCCCCACCCGTTCCTGTATACCCAATTGTTCCCTAAAAAATAGAAATATATACTTTAGGTATATGTTTGGTAAAAATTGCCTAGCACCAGGACGGTATGCAAGCACTTAAATAGGCAGCAAAAAGAAAGCGAAAAGTTTTTTTTCTTGCAATAAAAATGACAGCCAAAATACAATCGGGAGAGAGGAGGCGGGTTTAATTTTGAAATAAACATTATAATGTATTATTTGGGATTTGAGAAACAATAGCCACAAATATTGTACAGTGGCTGGGCAGAATGTAAGAAGCTTGGTAAAGCCGGAGTGTAAAAGGAAGAGATAAGGTAGTTTTATCTGAAATAAATAGAGTGTATTATTTGAGAGACTAAAGCCATACATTTTTTTGTAGTTTTGACAGGCAATAGGCCTAAACTGAACGGTGGCAGTCGCATCCACAAAAGATCTAAAGGTTATAATGTTAATCTATAATGTATCTTCCGTTTGTATTGTGGCCCAACCAAGCTGTGTACATAGCTTACAACCACTGAACAATTCGTGGCAATTGTTTCTCAAATAATACATTCATTTTATTGCGTTTCTGTTTCTCTTTTTGTTGCCTCGCATACTGTCTGGATGCTAGCCAATTTTTACCAAACACATACCTAATGTCTATATTTTGATTTTTTTTTGTGAACAATTAGGGATATGGGGATGGATTGGGGAATGTACGGTTGTGATGCTGAAGTGTTTCTGTGCACTCTGTTTTGACATTTTAATAAACTTTTATGACAATGCAGGATGGTACTACAAAAAAGAAAAAAAAAAAAAAAAAACCCTCAATATCTTAAACTGACACTAAACTCAGTGGTTCAATTTAAAAAATGCATGTAAGTAGCCCAACTATTAACAAAAATGTAAAGCTTTTGTACATCACTCAGCTGTATATCCTCAAATCATCTCTAAATTATGCTGACTCTGTTCTTCCTTCTGGAGGATGCGTACTTTTGTTCCCCATGGTTCTTGTGTGTGTTGTAAAGTAGCCACCACTCCAAGCTTGCTCCTGTGATTGACTATAATTTCAATACAAACTAGTAAACTAAACGTGAGATTGCAATCCATTACGGTAACAAGCGGTGTGGAGCGGTGGCTTCTTTGCGACAAACACAGGGACCGTGGGGAACAAAAGAAGCCACCCTCCAGAAGTCCCCACCCATACATACATGCAAACATGTGTCGGGTGCGCATACGTGCGAAAATGACGATTGCGCCCATTACACCGCACATGTTACATATCACCGCGAATGTCGCAGTGAGAGCAATAATTCTAGGGCCATTAATCACTGATAACACTAAACTGATGAGCGGTAAAACCTTTTAAAGCGTCTCCTATGGTCAATTTTGGGTATGGTAGTTTTTTGCAATTTTAAGGCTTGACATGTTTGATGTATATGTACCCGACGTGACCCCGTCTTTTATATTTTACCAAAAAACTGGGTAATAATATATGTTTCCTAACATAATGTAAAAAAAAACTTTTTTTTTTCAAAATTTTCAGTAATTTTTCCTTAATATGGCTTAAAATAAAAGCCGCAGTGGTGATTAAATACCATCAAAAGAAAGCTCTATCTATCCCCCAAAAATGGTATAACATTCATTGCATGATGGAATAAATGTCAGTCAAAGTACTGCAGCACTAAATACTGAAAAGTGGCCTGGCCAGGAAGGTGGTGTAAACACCTGGTCAGCAAGTGAAACTACAGTGCACAAGAAAACACTTCAAAACCACAACCCCCTTCATTTGTGTGGGGATGAAAGCATCCCTGATTGGCTTCTGATTTTCCCCAAACAAGTTGGGGGTGTTGGCCTACCTGACATTCGTCAGGTATTATTGTATATCATTGTATTATATTGCATCTCACCTTGATCGATTGGTTGACTGGTGTTGCAACTCCCAATATAAGAGGTGGGCTATGAAGTTGGCAGGGTACTGTTCCCCTCTTATGGGTATACTGTGGCTTTCATCCCCCATACCTCCCGAAATTTCTTTATATCCCACCATTCCCCCGACGATAGAGATTGCAAGGGTCTCCTTCCAGACCACTGATATCTCACCCTCCCTAAATCCATTGATTCCAGTGATCGGGGACTCAGATTTTCCACCAGGTCTAGACAATATTAACATTTGTCACCTACCGACGAAGCAAAAATTTTGCTTATTTAACTTCATTTCGAATCATCCTACAAATAACTGTAGTATAATTCTAAGTTTACAATATAATGAAGTATAGATGGAGAATAGATGCAATTCAGGGGGAGGGGAGGGGGCGGATGCACATTATTCAGCAATGCAGAATACAGCCAACTATAGAGAACTACAAATCCCAGTAATACATTATACAGCAATGCAGAATGGCAACGGCTATAGAGGACTACAAATCCCAGCAATACTTTATACAGCAATGGCCAACACATTAGCATAGAGTTTACAATCAGTATTTACTAAAGAAATCGGCCTATAACTAGCACATGTGGTAGGTTCCTTACCAGGTTTTGGTATAAGCATAATGTACACATGCGTCGTGTCCCTACAAAAATGTGCCCCCTTACCAATATCATTAGCACACTCCGTCAAACGGGGTGTCAAAATTTCATTAAAAGTTCTATAGTAAATAAGAGGTAGACCAGGTGATTTCCCAATGGCCATATGGACCAAAGCCTTCTTAAATTCTCCCTCCAGAGCATGCAACACAGACTTAGGTAAATCTGCGGCATTTAAATATGATGATATTTTCTCCTTCCTGTTGTCCAAATTAAACGGAGAAAATCTGATGCTGCACATCATATAGAGTACAGTAAAAATCCCTAAATGCTTCCGCAATACCCAAAGTTGTATGTACCATCTCACCCGCTGACGACATCACCCTGGAGACAAAAGAGGCCACCCATTTTTTTTGAAGGGACCTGGCCAGGAGTCTGCTCGACCTATTACCCCATTCATAATATCTGTGACAAGTGCAAAGCCATGTCTCGTCCTAATATCCAACAATGATCTCAGTTCTTCTCTCTTCAAAATCAATTGTGTTAAATGGGTCTGCATTAAAAATTGTTTATGAAGTGTCTCAAGATTATAAATTTCATTTAACAACTTCTGCATCTGTGGCACTCTAGCTTTTTTAAACCAGTACCTAATTCCAGGGTTCAAAATTTCCACTCGCCTGTTCGCATTTGGAGAGTGGAAATGCAGTGGAGGCGAGTGGAAATTCAGTCAGGCTCAAGTCAGTACCTAACTAGTGGGAGCAGCTGCTCCTGCTGGGCTCTCTGTTCTGTCAGCCGCAGCTCTTCACTGAGCTCTGGGTCGAAAACAGAGTGATTAGTAATGTCTGCAGACCTTACTAATCACACCACATGACCAGGGATCTGCCTGCTCGCCTCCTCCCTGCAGAAAGACAAGCAGGTGAGTGGGCTTCATTGTTTTACTTTACATGGTGGGGGACAGGGGGCTTCCTTTATGACGTGTCAGGCACGAGTCCACTGGCAGGATAGGGGAAGGGATGGTGGGGAGCGCCATCTGCCCGGCAGTGAGGAAGGAGCCGGCAGAGGGACGGGAGGGAGACAGGAGGCGAAAGTACATAATTGTACTGCAGAGCAGCCTGCAGGCACACTATGGGGCAGTGATGGGGCCTCATGCGGGAGGACTCAGAAAGCAGCCACCTGAACATAGAGCCCACCGCCTCTCCCTGCCACATGGTGTTCCCGCCGGGAGGACAGTCAGATAAGTTCATGCTTTAATTTATGTGCCTATGTTCTGTGTGTTCTGTGGCATGTATGTAGTGCTCTATAACTGATATAATTCATCTGCATTTCTGTATAAAGTGTTGCTGGGAGTTGTAGTTCTCTATAGCTGTTACCATTCTGCATTTCTGTATAAAGTGTTGCTGAAAGTTGTAGTCCTCTATAGCTGGTGCCATTCTCCATTGCTGTATAAAATATTAGTAGTGGAGGGATGTGAGGGGAAGGAGTAGGGGATGGTTTCGGGATATTTCAAGCACATTTATTGTGCACTTCTTTATTTCTATTATTACTACATTGTAATATATAATGAAATAATTATAGAAGAAATATTTATTTTTGTAACTTTATTTTGTATTAAACATCTAACAGTGTCATTTATAAGATTATTTAAGAAGGTGTGTTTAGGGGCAGAGTTAAGGCCGGGGCAGGGTAGGGGCTAGGTGGGCAACTGGTGGCGAGTAACTCCTAAGGCCTGGCTAGTAGCTCAGGACTTTAATTTTTGACCCCTGCCTAATCAACTTGTGGATAAGGCATATTCTGTTTGCGAAAACCAGGCACTCTATGTATCTGGTCCATCTCAATCAATTCAGTTACTGGTTTTCCCATGTATAAATTAAGGATCCCTTGTACCGTTGAGGATAACTCCTGATCCCCAGTCGCTTCTGGAATACCCCTTTTTCGGATATTATTCCGTCTTTGCCTGTCCTCTAAGTCATCCACCTGTGACCCTAGGCTTTGCAACTGGCGGAATACTTCTTTCAGCATATTCTGTGAGTTTACATGTGCTCTGTTGCCTCCACCCTACTGTAGAAGCCTTGCAGATAACCTCTTATTTCCTCCATACCTATCCTCTGCCGCGCCTCCATCTTTTTAAGACAGGAATCTTTCTTTGTTGGCAGGAGGGATAGATGTTTTAACAATGTTCTAGGGAGTTCTGCCTCTGTTCATTCAATCCTTGAGTCAGATAACCCCCGCTGGGAATGGGGACCAAAGTCTACAGGTTTAGGAAGGCATATAGGGATGAGGATGCACCAGTTAATGTAGTATCTGCTTCTGGTGAATGGCAGTGTGTTATTCCTCCATCTGCCTTACGAAAGAAAGCACCAATGTCTGTAACAGAGCCCTCACTCCTCCATGGACAGACCACTCTCCCAGTGCTTGCACCCTTTTACCTAGGTGCCCCCTAAAAGTGTAACTAGGGACCACATCCTAGATTCTAGATAACATCTATAAGTCCCGTTCATGACAACTATAGACTTTTGGTAGAAAGCAGCAAACTTCAGAAATTTGGAAGCTGAGGTTTACCTGTGGAAATATTATGTGGCAACTTTATATTGTTGGAGCACTGGAATAGACTACAAGCTTTGAGACACAAATCAGAATTTTCCCAGCAGCAAACATGTGAAATTTGGCAACATAGGTCCAGCTGCAGAAATATTGTGTGGCACCTTTGCTGTCCCGGAGCACTGAAATAGTGCTGCAAAGTTGGAGACAAAATTCAGGATTTAACGTGCAGCAAGCGTTAGTGTGTAAGCTTAGGTGTGCCAAAATAGGGCAGGATTGAAGGCATGAGCTGATAATGTTGACAGGTATACTTTTTTTTTGGGGGGGAGGGGCTGATGACACTGAAAATGTTAGTTTTTATCATTAGTAGTAGGGGTTTTGTACTGACATACAGGTGAAACTCGAATAATTAGAATATCGTGCAAAAGTAATTGCAGTAAGTGCTGCAAAAGGGGCCCAAACCAAGTACTGAGTACATATGCATGCTTGTACTTTTCAGAGGTCCGATATTGTTCTATGTACAATCCTTGTTTTATTGATTGCATGTAATAATCTACTTTGAGGTTGTGGATTTGGGGTTCTTGGGGTTTTCATAAGCTGTAAGCCATAATCATCACAATTATGACAAATCACGGCTTGAATTATCTTGCTTTGCATGTAATGAGTCTATCTCGTATATTAGTTTCACCTTTTAAGTTGCATTAGTGAAATAAATGAACTTTGCACGATATTCTAATTATTCGAGTTTCACCTGTTATTTCAAAGGCCATGCAGTGCATTATGGTTACAAAAACTTCATCCAATTTTAAGTATAATTTATTAAAGTGTATGTAAACCCTTTGTAAATAAATTAACTTCTCGGGTTTTTCTACCTTTTGGCCTGTTAAATATACCATTGAAAGCATTTTGTTATATTTGTTTGCAAAAAAAGTGACATTTAGAGCTGTCCTGTGCACACTTCCTGTGTTATCTCAATTACTTTAATTAGCTGAACTAGTTGGCAAAACACAAGTTGGCAGGACTGACACCACGCAGTCCACAAAGATGCTGTGTGTTGTCAGCCCACAATAGGATCAATGGGTATTTAATATACTTGCAGAGTCTTTAAAGGGATAAAACATAGAGAAATGTGCATATTGAAGAGATGTCCTGATTATTTTTTTTTTTTGTTGCCCTGATTTATGCATAAGCATCAGATTACAGCGTGATTTTCAAACAATTGTCATCTCGTGGAGAGCCTAGAGTATCATATTAGCAAGAAGGCAACTAACGTTTTCAGAAGGGGGTTGGGACTGACAGCATAGGTGTTACCCTCATGACATGCTTCTTTTAACAATGAATGTTATTTCTTAAAATTTTTTAACAGCTGCTGAAAAATATCCAAATGTAAAGACACATTTTGAGCACAAATTAAATGACTACAACGTTGAGTCTGGCACACTGGTTTTTAATGGGTAAGTTATAAACTTTACAGTTACAAAGTTTAAAGTGTAACATTTGCTGTTACATATATTGCATACATTGCAAGAATTTTAGTAAACTTGATTGTACAATCCCACATGCTGCCATTTTATATTAGAACAAACACATTCATGAAATGTATTTGGACCACTCCATTTAACGGTGCACTGCTGAGAAGGCTGCTATGGATCTAATTATTATTTATCTAATAATTCTATATACAGTAAATCATTATTATATAAATTATGTATTTTATGTAACATTACAATATTTTTTGTACATTTGCTGTGAAAAAAAACACTCCTCCCCTTGTCAAGTACATATTTGCAAGGATTTTTTTAGCAAACTTTATTGCAGAGTTCCACCTGATGCTAATTGTATAAGAACAAAAACACTCACTTTCTCCTTCCTTCAATCACTTTTTACTTCCTAAGTACTTAGTTGTATGATCTTTCTGTTATAGGAACAGGATTAGTACAAATGTTGTAGTAAGAGACAAACCACTCAGAACTGCAGTGAGCCAGTCACATGACACAGACTTGCCACCTTGGCCAGGCTGGGAAATAGACTCCTGGGACCAGTAAATTCACTAATGCCATAACAGTGCTGAGCACGGCATGGAGTAAATGTAACAGATATTTATGGTGCTGTCATCCAGTCACTGGGGGTACCCTTAATCACACCCCTGACCGATGCAGATCAGAGAGTGTAGGCTTCTTATTTCCTCATATCTTTAGCAGTGCTCCTCTTCTGGCCCTGTGCAGATGCATGCTGTGTCTGTCTGTCCATCTCCTACCGCCACACACAGCATTGGTAAGAGTGAAATGCAAACACCTATGAGTGGCACACTGATGGCCGGTGTTGTATGAGTCATGAGTTTGCTCCCTTCTGCAGTGAGAGACACAGTAATAGAAAGTTTTACAATGAATACTGTAATTTAGTCAAGCAGAGAGTTGACTGTGGCTTGGATGACCATGGTGTTCTTATAAGTCAGTCAATCATTGACAGAGTGGACATAGCATTACCCTGGGGCAGCGGCTTGGCTCACTGGTGAATAACTTGAGTTAGGAGGTAGAAAACTGGAGGAAATAATAAAAGTTGTATAGGACAAATTTTCTCTCAACTGGAATGCATACCAATCGGCTTTTAAATTAGAAATTCTCTAAACTGTGTGGAAAACATGAAAGATAGACGCTGAATGGTTGCTACCAGTTGCGGTAGAGCGTGTCAGACACGTTTTATTAATTTCCCCTATGAAATGACAGCCATGTACGGTGTGAATTGTCTTATTGATATATTATAGGGGCAAACGCAACACCTTAACAGTAATGGTAATGGTATAATAGGCATATATGCAGCCTGCTTTGGATAATTCTTTGTGTGGGCCTTTTCTAGGTTCTGGCTATAATTTTCGTATCACATAATTGTGGATATACAGTACAGGGCCTTGTATCAGCAGGCCTGTCTGATCTAGTTATTTATAATTCAGTTATAAGCAGTTAGTTATTTGGCTAATAGATATGTAGTTATTGGCACCAAATGAGCAAACTTGATATCGTGTATTTTAAATATAATTTAGAGCAGTGGTTCTCAACCCGTGTAACCTCGGGACCCACATGTTTCCTTGGTCATTAAGGCGTGACCCAAAAATGATTTCATTTCTGAAACATTTAAAAATTTAGAGGATGATGATGATTGATATAAATTATGTAAAAGTATTATACTTATACATACATACCATAATGTATACTTATGGTATGTAATTGTGTCCTCTTAATAAGTGGCATGTTATATCTGATATACTGTACTAAATGTTTTGTAGTTTACAGAATGGAACACGAGTTTGTTGTCTTTTTTTTGTTTTGGTGACTGAATTATAACACTGTGCAACAAATATATTTATACTACATAGTATAAATTCTGTGAAAGAAACCTTTTGACTTTGTTTTCTGTTCCTTAATGAGCCCACACACCTTGCGATAATCGCGGGAAATCCCGCGATCGTACCATTATCGCAAGGTGTGCGATAGGCATGCGACCTCTGCTACTGTAAGGTCGCACGACTTTTATGTTAGGAACATGTTCGAAAACCCGCCGAAAATCGTACGATTGTCGGTGGGTGTGTAGCATGTTGGTGAGATAAGTGCCGCACGGGCCGGTGTGCGCAAGCGCACACTGCCCGTTCAGCATTGCGGTCATCGGAAGTACGATCTGCCTGTCCAAGATAGGCAGATCGTAAATGTTTTCAATTACCTTACAACCATCGTAAGACAAAAGTCTTGCGATGGTTGTAAGGTGTGTGCCCAGCATTACAGGAACACTACACAAAAGTAAAATTTAGTGTATCAGTATATATGGTATAAGTACTGTCCTGGGAATCTATAGCATCACAATGCGAGGTATATTGTATTTGTAATAGCATAATGTATTCTACAGGAGGAGGTTAATATGCATTTTCCCTGTATTTTCAGGAGCTTAAAAAATAGAATGCACACAAAAGCAGATTTGATTGTCGGATGTGATGGTGCTTTCTCTGTTGTACGAAAGCAATTTATGAAAAAGACACGCTTCAATTACAGTCATGTATATATTCCTCATGGATATAAAGAATTAAGCATTATACCAAAAAATGGAGAGGTAAGAGTGCAATTAAACTACATGGTCTACTTTTTATGGTAATTATAGTTAGAAATGCTAGAAATCTTTGTCGCTTTAATTTTGCCCATTAGCTTCATATTTTGAATTTGTAACATGGACAGTGTGTCTAATCTCATATTGTTGCACATTTCTATAAATACCATTACTGACGTTTGATCCAGGTACAAGTCTTCTTAAATACAGTAACACACCAGAACACCAAATTTGTTCAAAGTGTATGTAGTGTAACAAGGACACTCCACTGTAGTCCAGGTAAGTCAAGTAAAACGCAGTTTATTAAAAGTGCAAACACAAAGGGGGTGATTTACTAACCTAAACACACGCACGCACTAGGTGCGTGTGATTTTTACACAGCAAAACGTATTTATCAACCAAAAAGTCTCTCAAAGCATTTTTCCACTAATGCCATATATGGAAAAATCATGCACATGATGCATATATAATGCTGCTTCACAGTTTAGATAAAAATGGTTAGCTCATGCATTTACATTCCTGCATTCATCAACGCAAGCAACACAATGTAGAGCTAATTTACACAACATCACCTTGCAATTCATGCAGGGCTTTGCACAACACACCTGCTGGGTGTGTACACACTACAAAGGTGTCTAGATTCCACCAATAGATCATGCTGGGAGGGAACACACTACAGAGGTGTATACTTGTTCGTGGCATGTTTATAAGGTTAGTAAATCAACCCCAAAGTCTCTGGTCAACCACGGGGTAGCCTTCCCCTGTTCACATAAAGGCCAACATTTCATGCACTTTTCATGATAATCTGCCTTCTTTAGCAAATACCGTCCTTTTAACACATACCGTCCTTAGTAGCTTTCCTCAGCTCCAAGGCTCTCAGCACACCTCAGTTTGATACTCACACTGCTCTCCCAGCAGCGTGTCCCACAGGTCCTATTGGCACCGACCTTCCTGACCTCTCCCAGCCTCCCCCGGCTGTTCCTTGTGCGTCCAGCACGCACCCGAGTCTGCGTGTGTCCGTGTGCCTCCTGCACACACAACTCCAACACAACTCTCTGAATTCTGGTCCAGACTCCTAATAAGGCTGCTCTCAGCCACTTGATCCAGCTATACTGGTCATTGGTAACACCTGGCCCCAGGACTGGAGATCTCATCCCTCTAAGGCTGGGTTCACACCTTAGCGCATTGGAAACTCGCGTTTGCCGCGCGTTTCTTACAGCGCGGTTTTACCGCGATTTGCGGTAAAAGAAACGTGCGTCAAACGCGAGTTTCCGAGGGGGTATCCGGTTGATAACAGCGGGATACGGGCGTCAATACGCCCCAAAGAAGCTCATGTACTTCTTTGGGCGTATGGCGTTTTATCCCGCGATCGAACGGGCAGTAAAACGCGCAGGTGAGAACCATGCCCATAGGCAAACATGGGTTTTCACCTGTTGCGCGTTTTACCGAGCGTAGGAACGCGCGTTAAAACGCTCAGGTGTGAACGGGGCCTAAGAGATCTCCAGAGCTCCAGATCCCAGCTACATTTAGGAAAACCTGGAAGGACCTGAAAAGCCAGGCTCTTCCTTATAACATTGTTTACATTCTGGACCCTCTCAGCCCCTTTGGCTGAGAGTCCTGGGTGCCAATGTTGTCATGCTACCTCACGGCATTGCCATGCACTGCCACAGTAGGCAAAAAGAAAAAATTGTAACTGTGAAGGTTCAATATGTTCCTTTACCTGTATGGCATGTTTTGCAGCTAGTTTTCCAGCTTCATGCCTATTGATCTTGCCAGTAATTATGCTTTAGGACCACTTCTTGCTGATCACAATGTCATCCTTTCTTATGTTGCTCCAATCACTCTGTGGTGACTCAGTTTCTTCCTTCAGTGTCTTAGCCTTGCCTGTTGGGGGAGAGGCCAGCCATTTCTACAGCAGCAAGTCATGCTCAGCACTGCCCTTTATGTCTGATACACAGCAGCAGAAGCTAATAAGAGTCCTTTCCCCTCCTAAAACATCACAGGAAGTTGTGCTTCTCTCCATTCAACGCTGCAGGGGAAGAAAAGGCTTAAGGAAGGGTCATAAATGACAAATTATCAACATTTTCTGTGCTCTGTTACACAGATCAGATGATGTGCCATGCAGCTATTCTTTGGTTGCATAAACCTTAAAAAAACTAAAACTTTTTTTCCATTAAGGCAGCTGAAGGCCCTTCGTGTGTGTCTGCACCAAATAGAAAACCAATAAATGGCAGTTGTTTAAAACATTTTATACTGAGCAAGGGAAAGTTACACAAGAGTAGATCAATACACGGAACAATACAATACTTCCCCATCATATATTTGCAAATATATGTGAAGCCACATGCAGGCTTCTATAAAGATCTTCTTAATAAAATCTAGACAAAAAAAAAATAAAGACAAAAAACAAACATACTGTACATGCTGCATGTCATTTCTTATTCAATGCCTAGTAGATGGTAATACCTTTACGCGAATTCCATTCCAGAAAAATTTAAATCTATTTATTTTAACTTGGCAGGCCCCTTGTGATGGCAATACTTTTAATTTTAAAAAAAAGAAAAATGCTTAACATCTTTTTTAAAGCTTAACAAGATGAAAACACACACAATTTTTTTTTTTTTACATTCATATAAAAGCACACACGTTGGGTGCACGCAAATAGGAAACAAATAATTGCACCACAAATATTAGGTATCACCGAGTATGCCGGAGTCAGTGCAATAATTCTAGGGCCACCATTCACTGTTAATTGATGAGCTCTAAAGGCTTTTAAAAGTAGTGGCCATTGACAATCTTGGTTACAGTAGTTTTTTGCTACTTCACAGGTTCGCATAAGTTTGACACTTGACATATATGGTATCTATTTATTCGACACAGCCTTATTTATTTTTTACCAAAACATTTGATATTGTGCTTTTGTGCACTGAGTGTATTTACTAAAATATAGATTTGATACACAGTAGTGTAATTATCATGTGACATAAAAATTGTAACTGTTAACATTTTATACAGCTAGGCAGACTGCTATTGATGTCAGAGGCAATTGTGGGATTTTTCTGTGGTGGTGGTGGGGGAGGGGAATGAGTCTCCGTGTAGATAGTTACATGCCCTCAGTTAAGCCCTTGAGTACTAGACAATTGAGAAACATGGAAATTATATGAACTGGGTATACACAGATTAGTCTTTTAAAGGGATACCCCCTTAAATAAATAGGATATTCTTGGGAACATATTGGAGAATGGGACTTTCTTGTAAACTATACTGGATAATTGTTAGTGTTCTTTCTTTTTTTTTTTAAGTTTGCTATGGAGCCTAACTACTTGCACATATGGCCAAGAAATACATTTATGATGATTGCACTTCCTAATTTGGTAAGTAAATCTATTATATTTCATGTATATGAGATGGTACGGACCTTTTAATTTACCAAAGTCTAAGTTGCAATAACAACATTGTGCAGAAACAAAAGAGAACACAAAAAAAGAAATAAACCATCAATGTTTTGGGAACACTGTGGCCTCTATTCTCAAGGTGATAGACAATATAGAAGCTTAGCACACACAAATATACAGTATACTCCCATCCCCAATTGAAACGCAACCCAACTGTGAGCCTAGGGATTTTCTTATGCGATATCCAGTCACTCTTTGTGCATTGAAGAGGGCACCACTCTCTAAAAAAACGGATCACATTCACTATACAAAAAAACCTAGATACTGAGCTAGCCAGCCTTTAAAACGTTTTTTTTTTTTAGTTAGCCTCTTAGTTCTTGTAAAACTTTCCTCTTTGTTTGACCACATTTTCATTTTTGCAAAGGGCCACTTTAAGTTCACACTTACATTTCCATAGCATGAATCTACTTTTGAAGACCTACCTTTGCTTTACATTACTTCCAGTTCGTAAGATCTGCCTTGTTCCACAGCATCTCCGGTTTCATGGGTACATCACTTTCGATCTGTGGAATGCATGGACATGGTTAGTAGTACCTTGGGGCAAACTGCTCTCCATCCAGATTGCAGGGCACAGTTTACTCATTTTGATATCTGGGAAGCGCTTTTGCTCTCAGATGAGTTTAAAGGGTGGCTAGCTCAGTATATAGGCTTTTTATATAGTGGGTGTGATCTGTATTTTGAGAAGCAGTGCCCTAGCACCGTAAGCACACCACATCTATGTTTGTTATTGCAGGAAGGGTGACTGGATCTAGCATAAGGAAATCCCTAGGCTCACAGGTTGGTTGTGTTTCGAATAGGGATGAGTGTATATATTTGTGTGCGCTGAGCTTCTATATTGTCTGTCACTCTGAGAAAGGGGACCACAGTGTCTCCCTGAAATGTTGTTGGTTTTATTTTTGTTTTTTTCTTTTGTTTCTGCACAATGTTTTTATTGTATCAAAATAGTGCACAGCAATAAAAGTTCATATAAGCAAAACTGTGCAAAATGTATAATCATCCCATATTACTGTGTAATGTGCCATTTAATATGTGTGTTGCACAGTGGCGTAACCAGAGTTCTGGGCGCCCGGGGCAGAATTTTTTTTTTCGCCCCCCCCCC